ACGAGGCCGAAGCGTAAACAGGTTCCCCCTCAGTGGCAAAAGGGGCAGTTATATTTCCGTCTCTTGTTTTTGTTCCACCAGCACTTTATTGTAAAAGTGAAATGATATCGTTCCCATGTCAGCGCAGTGTAAATGTTTTGTGCACGGTATTCCTCCATTTCATGCTGAGCGCTTGCTCTGTTTACTTCTGTTTACTGAGAGACTGGGGCTACTGTACTGTGTCCTCGCTTGCTGCCTCGCTGCTGGAGGAAGAGTTCCAAGCAGAAGAGGCTGAGAAAATCATGTGTCAAATTTAGTTCAAGGATGTTTTCGGCACCCCGATGTGACTTACTAGTTGTCGTTCCAAGTGTTGTATCTGACGGCATTATCTCTCCTGTGACATTACAAGATTGACATTTTTGACACGACTGCAAAATGTCCATTTTTGACAGCACTTGTCACACTTTGGGTCACACGGTGCGCTGGAGCCTAAACCAACTGACTTTGGGCCGCAAATGCAAATAGATTTTTGAGAGCAGCCTCGAGGAGCACCTGTTGTACTTTGCGCTTCTTGGCCTTGTTTATTAGTGGTAAGAAGAGTCAAAAAGAGCCCCCATTTGATCTCGTTACCGGATAGCGGCATTGCTAAGCTATCTCTCCGCGTCACAGTATCATCATCTGGGTCAGCATGCGCATTTGTCAGCTGGTTTCACTCACTGGTATCTACGTTTGTGAGAGCGACACAATTTGACCCTGGCCCCGTGTTTCCCATTCCTCCATCGCTCCTTTCTTGTCAGCTCAAACATCCGGATTCTTTGGTATGTTGGTGGAATTTCAACTATTTTTCCAGGTCACTCTTGTTTGTACCTTGCTAGGTGTGTCTGTAAATTCACACACAAGGAGAGAGATTAACATGCTCACACAGTGACGTATGTATACAATCCACCTCGCATCACAGACCCTCCCGCTCCAGGCCACACGATAATCTGACTCTGGCTCAGCATCTTTGTCCTAGTTGTGCGTTACAGGAAAAAAATAAATGCATTCAGCCTCGACATTTCCTGTAAATATCATGCAAAAAGATGAAAGCACCATTTCTGATTGATGTTGGTACAGTACATGAGAGTTTGATCAATCTTCAATCGTTTGATTAAAAACGTAACTATATATTTGCAAAACTGGCTTCGATCCCAGCTCCGGCCTTCCTGTGTGGAGTTTGCATGTTCTCCCCCGGTCTTGCGTGGGTTTTTTCCAGGTACTCCGATTTCCTCCCACATTCCAAAAACATGCATGGCAGGCTGATTGAACACTCTAAATTGTCCCTCAGTGTGAGCGTGAGCGCGGATGGTTGTTCGTCTCTGTGTGCCCTGCGATTGGCTGGCAACCGGTTCAGGGTGTCCCCCGCCTACTGCCCGAAGACAACTGGGATAGGCTCCAGCGACCCTTGTGAGGATTAAGTGGATCAGAAAATGGATGGATGGTTACCCATGAAATTTTTGCAATGGAAAATAAGTACCTTGGCCTAATAGTTTGTTTTTTTCCCCACCTGAACTTATCAATACTCACCTAAATGAAAACCCATAAATAAATTGGATATACTGTATTGCACTTACATTTGTATAAACGTAGGGCAATTTCATCCCTCGATTCACCGGCATTGGAGGGATCCAGACTCAGTAATTGTGGCACTCAAAATGGAAATCTCATTCTGATCGCCAATCTCTTTCAGCTCCTGATGAGCATAGCAAATATTCACAGAACCCGTGGTTCATAAACAAGCAATGACATTGTACAAAAAGAGACGATAGCTGTTTGCCGAATGCATCGGCCAGCATTTCCGCTACTCCGCTATTAGTGCTTCTCACTGCTATGCCTCATCAATGAGTCCATGCGAACCGAACGTACATAGTGAAACCAAACTGTTTAAATGGGTTTCAAGAACCCTATTATGAATGCCTGCGTGCGAGTGCTCACACTTACACAGCGGGCGGCAAGATGACCGACACGAGGATGACCCAGGACACGCTGGAGAGACTATGTCACCCAGCTGGCCTGGGAACGCCTCGGGATCCCCCAGGGAGAGCTGGAAGAAGTAGCTAGGGAGAGGGAAATCTGGGCTTCCCTGCTAAAGCTGCTGCCCCCATGACCTGGCCCCGGATAAGCGGTAGAAGATGGATGGATGGATGGTGACACAAAAATCAAGAGAGAAAATCTGTAAAACCATGAAATCAGATTGGAATCAGGCCTCTTACAAATGTGGTTCAATTGGTTACAAATATCTGCCAGGAAGAAAGCAACGTGAAAAGGACAGATCAGATTGATCAATGTTATCCTGATGTCATATAATCCTGACGTGGATAATCCAAGCATCTTCTTTGTTTTTCCTTTTGGAAAATAAATACATTTTTGTTTTTGAGTAAATCCTACCTCCCTGCAACTGTGTCCTCAACCCTTGCACTCCAGACCGTGTAACTCATTAGGTCCTCTTCTTCTGTGTCCTGGGCCTTTCCTCATCTTGGAGGTGGGAAGCACTGAGAAAATAGCTGCACTGGCAAAAGGTTGACTGCATGACTCAAGCTCGCCCATAAGCAACCATTGCGTCCCAACCGTCAGTACTGGCCGGGCCCAGAATCTGTGCTGCAAAAGCTCCCACAAAATCTGCTGTGTATTTATGGTTGCGAAGACAATGAAGTTTTATGGTGCACTGGGAAGCATGTCGTATAAATTACAGGGTAGTCTACTGCTCAATCCTTGCTGTTGTTTTTCTTTCTCTCTTTGTCAACCAAAGTTCATTTGGTTATATTGGAATCTAGGATATTTACAATTATAGGCCTACTACATAAATAAACACAAAAAACAGTTGCATACAGGAGTTAATAAAAGAATAAGGAAAATAGACACAAATCCTTTTTTGTTGTTGTTCAGTACCCTTTATTGGAGTATACAAAGTGCGTGCGTCAAAGACAAAAAAAAAATCACGCTCTCGTGTTATAAAATGGTCATTTCAAACTGAAACGACAAGATATCAGTTTTCGTCTTTCGTGAGGGCCAGACAATAGACAGTTGTCATCTTTTGCTTTAATAAGAAGTGGGAGTTGTGGTTGGACAAGGCATGCCTGCTTCACCATGACAGCACGTCTGCTCACAATGCCTTGAACACATGACAGTTCCTGGCCAAGATGAACACGGCTATGCTGCAGCAACCTACTGTACCTGTTCACCAAACTTGGCTGTATGCTTTATTTCCTCTTTGCCAAACTCAAAGGAGTCATCATGGGGACCCCTATTGAAGTCGCGGACCACATCAAGATAGCTGTGACGATGGCGCTGCTGAGGATCTGCAGGGGTTTAGGTTGGGTCCTTCATACTTCCCTACCTTTGACTAAGGTGACACACCCCACTCCAACTGACACAGCATAAACATTTGTTTACTGGAATGGATGTTGCACTACTTCGTGTGAGCTGTTTTACCCCAGGTCGGTCCCAAGACTTATTCTTTGATGATGTTAGATTTTGTATTCAATCTCAGGGCCAGTCTACATGAAAACGGATCCTCCATGACTCTGATTATGTGCACCGAACAGCAGCATTAATACAGTCATGCTGACAAATAGTTTCACTCAACCACTGTAGGTGACTCAGTAATCTGCTCTTTTTGTCATTGTTCCCAGAGTATAATATGCATGCAAGTATTTTCGGATTGTTTTTCTACATGTGCTGCTGCACCAAATGTGCATTCTTAAAAGCGTTACCACAAGGCTAGTGAGTCTCTGGTCTGTGGCTCACACCATACGTATCTCGATACACTACCGACGATCCAGTACATCAACAGCAACTACCAATGGCGCTACAATACAAAAATGCAGCTCCTCATCACGACACAGTGCCATTCAGCACAATTTGATCCAACATGTGATCCGATCTAATTCGATTTGGTTCTACGATGCAAAGAAATGATGCTAAGCAATCCAAAGAGTTTGATTACCGGTATTTATTCACCACAAAATAACTTCTTAAAATTGATGTATTTTTCAATTCAACAGTACTTCTGTAAACACCTGGCTCACAAGTGACAGTAAATCAGGCATAGTGCAATGTTCTTTCAGAAAGGTGGGGTGCCTTTCACAACTGCTCACAAATTGAAAACAATTGTAAACTCTTATTGGTATTGATGTAAACAAACACCACTTCACTATCGTAGTAATAACAGTAATAATAGTCATGAAAGTAAAATCATTTGGTTCCGGTGAGAGATTGAAAATGGAAAAAGATAAAAATGCGCCCAGATATTAGGTGTTTTGTACCTAAGCTCCATGTGGAAGAGATATGTGAAACCCTTGTTTTCTATATGGCTGGATATCTTTATCAATGAAGAAGGATATCCTTGTCGCTTGTTTTGTTCCGAGTAGAGCTGTTAGCTAGTGGCGCACTGGAATAAAGTTGGCAGACTTTGCTCACGACTCTCCGAGATGAATCCGAACATGAAGCGCGGATTCCGAGGCACTGACAGACTCCTCCACGTTCACATCTGACCTCAACGACGTCACGCAAGATTTTGGATCACATATGTGACAATGTTCCACAACAAAGTGTTGAGATGGTATTTAAGACCTGGAAAGACACATCATGTAATTTTCCTCACATTTTGATGTATCTCCAAACATTTTGCAAAAGCCTTAATCTGTTCTTGGTATTGACTACTTTTAACTGTCTGTGGCATGTTTGCCTTGTAATGTAACTGTTTTGACCACTTGCATTGGGATCGATGTACAGTCTTTTCTACCAAACTTTATGTAACCTCGTAATGGAAAAAGCCAACCCACCGTATATGCTGATCCCCCCCACCCCCCCACTTCTCAACAACATTGACAAATCTGATTGGGATTTGTGGCTTTAGTGTGACAAACCGACCAACCTTCTTTGTACTCTCCCTGTGTCAGTCTTTGTAGTGCATTGCATCCATTCGTAATATTTAAATAAATGATTAAAAAAAATATTCCCCTACACTACAGTAACCCGTCCAACATTCCAATGACTCAATTTATTGTCCATTTATTGAAAAAAAGCGCCATCTCCATGTTCTCCTTGAGTCTATTGCCAAAGATTTCTTTAGCTTCTATATCCACTGGTCAAAGTGCACACAGTGTGACAAAAACAGTTGCTGGGGTTAAAAAAAAAAATCCATAAAAACAATGGAAAATATGTGAGTATATGACGTTTTTGTAATAATACTGGTTTGAGGGCACAGTTCATATAAGAATGTTAAAGCATTCTAGAAGCAGCAAACCATTTTAAACCCACAACCGGTTACTAGAACAAAGTTTCGAAGGACTGAAACGTTGATACATATCCATCTGAATCCCTCGGTTGTTCTTTGTCACAGTTCATCCTCTGACCCCACTGGTTCACAAGCAGAGACTAACGGGGGTTCATTTATATTGACCGGCAGTGAATTTTACCGCTTTGACACAAACAGGTACATAAGCCATGCAATGACGAACTGAGAAGCAGACAGGGGGTGGTGGCGGAGATGCAGAGCGCATTCAGACACACTTTCCCAGAATGTCATTTTCTGCAGGATGGCCTGCAAAGGGGAAGGGGTAGGGATCCATCCCAGGATGGCAGCGTGGGCTTTTGTGATCAGGTCTTGTCCAACCATTCTGCTTGCTTGGGTGCCTTGCATGTGTGTACATCCACAGTTTCCTTGCAGACCTTGCATTCCACAGCACAGCACCATTCGAATTTGCACTCGCACTGGGTGAATTGTTCAACTCTGGTGGTGTCGTAGCCCCGCCCACAACACATGACCTCACATCCCTCGGGGCTGTGTGATGTCTTATTGCACAAGCGCCCAGCAGTCCCGATGGAACCTGGAGAGTATACAAGAGTTTCAGTAAAAACTAAGAAAATATATCCGGGTCATCAGTTGCTCGCGTGATAAGTTTGCCACAGTTTTGGATGTGGACAAGCGGTAGGCAAAATGGATGGATGATATTGTAACTGCAGTATCAAAGACCTGAATGCACAAACTGCGTAATGCATTGTCGTGGTGTGAACGTGCGTTTGTGTGTGAGGTGCGTGAATGTCATCCAGAGGGAGATTAGTGCCGCTGTTTGATTTGAGAAGCTCTGTGTTTGAATTGTTACCTATCACAACAAGCTGCCCATAGAACAACAGAGACACATAGACAGCTATGCACTGTTGGTAGAGTAGCCTATAGTTACACTGCCTTTCCCAAGCCATTGCTCCCTTTGAAGCCGCATTGTGTGTGTGTGTGTGTGTGTGTGTGTGTGTGTGTGTGTGTGTGTGTGTGTGTGTGTGAGACGGTTAATGGACAGTGGAGCGTGACAGACAGACAGGCTCTCACACTCTGAGGCCCACTCTCCCCTCCAGCTACGCTTAGTTCAGACAGACAGAGAGCAAGAGAGACTGTGGCCAACAAAAAGAAGTGACTTTTTTTTTAATTAGCTGTTTGTGTCCCGAGGCTGCGAATTCCACTGGGAAGGTGAGAAAAGAGGGGGATGATGGACCAATCGACAGAGATGGCGGGGTTGGGGGAGATGGAGAGAGGTGTTGATCCCTCAAGATTGCTCAAGCATTTCCTCCTCTGAACTGACCAAAGTGAGGCCATCATAAGCAGTTGCCTGCATTAGGTAGAGGTGGGGTGACACAGGCTCTACCCAGCGGGTGCGCGTAGGTGTGTGTTTGTGTTGGTAAAGACCGACAGAGGTCAGGTTGGTCATAGAATGACCATGTCCCCCAGGCTACGAGGATATTAGCTTCCACTGACACAGACATCAGACAGGAGGCCAACTATGTTATCTGACTGCCACGATTGACATCCACACACAAACAAAGACATTCATATACACACACATAACACAGACAGGGCCCATCTATCAACAGGATTAAGCAGATTACCTGTTGATTTATCCGGCAGACAATAATTGGGTGAGTTTTCAAAGTAGACAAGGTCATTTTTGGTGGCCCGCCGAAAGGCTTTATTGGCTACGGTGAATCCCGTCCCGTCTTGGTTCATGGTCACCTCGATGGCCCCGTTGTATTTCTTCCTCAGGTAGTCGCCAGTCTTTCTGAAGTCCGACATGGCCATCCAACACGTCCGCAGCGCGCACGAGCCGCTAACACCGTGACACTTGCACTCCAGCTTCATGAAACGCTTCACTGCCTAAATGCAGAAAGAATGGTGTGCAGTACATTCGTATTTTTCTTTGTTGACTTCAATAAAGGGGTGTGAATCAATTACATCATGAAAGTACTTCTGACTGGGGCTCTCAACTTATTGTCAAGGATTTTCATACGCAATTTACATACATTGACTTTCAAGTGCACCAATTTACGGAACAAACGGTGGAACATGCAACAAATTAAATGTGTCAAGGTACCACTGAAACCACTGCTATATGAGAAGGAGCTGGAATTGTTAGCATATTCACATAGACCCTGGGCATGAATAGAAAAGTTGACAATTCCAAATTTGTAAGCACATGTACGATGGCGATAATAACCGATTGAAGGTAAAAGGTAAGACTACGAAAATGTCCTCAGCTTCCGCACTTAGCAGAGGTAGAGATGACTATTGATAATATTTAAAAGAGGTGGCTTTACTAATATGCCATAGGGGGGGGTCACACACTCACAGTTCTTCCACAGCGGTTGTTGTGCAGGTTCATAAGCGCCCGTGCATCACGGACCGTCCTCTCTTTGGCGTCTATGAAGGCTTTGGCAAACCTGATCCCGTAGTTAATGTGGTCACTACATCCCCCCCAGTCAAATTCTCCTCGCTCATCCTTGTCCCGACCACGTTTTTGTGGGTCACAGTTGCACATCTTAAGATCACCTTGGCTGCAGGCACGAGTAAGCGCATACACCACCCCAGCAGAGGAGATGGCATAGACAAATGCTGCTTCTCGGCTGCCTGGAACAGAGATAGAGAGAGTGTAAAAGACCCGTTAGACTACTCACAAATCCAGTCCGCACTCAGAAACAGTCAGTTTCTCCCCGGCATGAAGGAACCCCCTCGTGATGTGACCATACCTGTTTTTGTAATTGTATTATTTTCATAGTGCCTACAATTAGGGGCTGGTGTGTTGGAGCCAATGTCAACCCTTTGCATGTGAGTGTTTTGTGCCCCATCTACAGGCCTGGAGTGTAATGTCTGCACCCCAACAAGTATTATTTCCTGCCCAGAGCCAGTGCAGGTGTGGCTGATTGAAGGCAACAACTTCTCACATCTGGCTCCTGCCCTCATAAACTTTGCTTATTCTGTAAATCAAATAAATCGTTAATCTCTAAAACCACCATTTTTGGGCCATCAAGGCAAGGACAGTCAGTGAAGAATATTCTCAGTCAGTCACCTGGAAGTTTTGGTAAAAGACCAATAAATGTAATACCTCTGCTAAAAGAGCCTTATGGAAATAATCCTAATGGCTCATGTACATATTTCATTATCACCTCTTTCAGTTTTGAGATGCTATGACAGATATGCAACGCAGTGGCGTGTGGTGAGGTGGGCTTCCTCTGGAGTCGGCAATAAAAATACTTACCCAAAATACAAGAAATTAGCCTCGATTTCAACTTTGACCTTCAGTGGAATATATGTTTCAATAAATTACCCTCATAAGACGTGAATGGAAGATATCGATGGGGACTCTCTCTTTAAGATGGTGTCCAAAACCAGCCCAGACTTGCTTAAGTGATTATTTATGTCTACGGGCTTCTTTTATGCATTGCGCCAATGGGGTGCAGCCCTGCCGCAAGCTGGTAGAAGGAATGTACTTCCTTGTCACCACTGTGCACTTTCATTTGGTTTTCTGGCCAATTGGAAATGTCACACACGTTCATGGAATAAAGTAGACCGTTCGTTGAATGTCAGCATGTGCTGCACGTGTGTAATAAAACACATTTGTTAGCGGCACAAAGACAAACAGCAATGTCTCTTGTGTGAGTGCTCGCAGCCGTCAACGAATGTGTGCGTGGTCGCCGGAGGCACAGAATGCGCAATGCTTCCCTTCATTCCTGCCCATGTATTTGAACAAGAAATATAATTTCAGGATGAAATTCTAGATAATTATAGGATGGAAAAAGAAAAGCAAGGACAGTAGAACTAAAATGGAACCTAATTGAACATCATCATAAGTTCTTTTCTTCTTTTTCTTACTCTTAAGATACAGGGGAAGGGACAGCAGGGGTTGGCACTGCCTCACTTGCCTACCCTGATCCACATGTCACCGGAGCAATGTAATGGAAAAAGAAAAAAAAATGCCTGTACTTGACGTCCATGTCGAATTCAAGGCATCGCGGACAAAACAAAAGAAAAGACGGTTAGCCATGATGCAATGAGTGTGTTAATGCTCCCCAGATGGTTGACTGCGTCTTGGTTTTGCAGTCTCAGCTTTGCCAACCCAACAAGGATGTCTCATCCGGTAGAGTGAGACTGAGATGACACAAGGCAAAGACAACCCTACAAATCTTTTTGTTTACAAATTGTGGTTCTGCAGTATGTCCTTTTTAGATTGTTGATAATAAATGAAAGGAAGGAATAAGAGCCACGAAGCCTCGCTCTGTTATCCAACCTGTTGACTCTGCATTGACCGGAATGTCTTGCTTCATCAGCGAGGAAGGGGGGCAGGTTGCATGAGGGCAGTGGGTGGCGTGTGGGGGTCTTTGCGTGGGAGGCCGAAGGCGGGCGTTGCTGTTCATCATTCAAACGAACGCTGTTTGTCTGATAATCAATATCTCTCTCTAAATATTTACATCTTCAATAATGTTTATCCCTCTCCACCACACACTGGTTGTATTTCTGTATCAAATGCAGAAAATGTTCTGCCGCCAACAAGCATACTTTGTGTGGATTTCAGGTCATGCAAATGTCTACCAAGACTAAATCATCCGAGTTGGATGTACACCAAAGTACTCACCCTCATCGTTCATTGAACCACATTTACTTCATTGACTAGTGGGGGAAAGTTACGATCATTCCATGAATGATTGTCTTTTTCAGCCCCACCTACAGTAATTTATGTTTCAAAACATTATCCAGAACTGTACCGCAAAATATGGGTTCTGCTTGACGCAATGACCATCCTCCACAGTTTTGTGGAAAGGTGTCCTTTTGCTTTTTGTGCAATGCTGCGAATGCTGTCCTCAGCTGCAGTGCAGCAGTCGGAGAACCTTTATGGCCATTACACTGCTCCGGCACGTAGAACAATTCACAGCATCACTTTCAAGTTTCTCAAAACAGGATCTATTTTCTGGGCAAATCACGAAACGTAAGGCCTGCTATACGGGCCGAGGTCCGTTGCCAACTGCCCCGCACAAGGAGCCTAGAAATTCTAGGCAGCTTTATCAGTTTTTTAACGACAGGCTCAAATAGGACGCTGGCCCAATTATACCTTTGAAAGTGCCCAAGTTAAATCCAATGATCAGAAAGCGTACTCGACGCGTTGGTGGATGTGGACTTACTTCTCAGCAAGACGCGGCCGAACACAGTGGGATCGCGTTCCAGTGTGCTACAGTTCCAGCGATGGTGTCTGAACTGATGCTGGCACTCTCGGATCCACTCCTTTGTACCCTCGCCGATGGCCTGCATGATGTCTGGGTGGCGCTGGCACAGTTGCCGCTGCTTATTCACCAAGGCTGGGATGTTGTCGCAGATCACACGGGCACCCAGTGCACCTATGTACCTGCAATCAGGAGTCACAAATTGAAATCAAATGTTCCCCTTTGTCCTAAATCTAGCCAGACACATTAGATGGCCGCAGCTGGGGCTCAGTGCGGTCACCGCAATTAGAACAAGACACATGAACAAACTACAACAATGAAGCACAAAAAGGGGCTCCTTGATTTTATTTCCTGTGATCGAGCCCTGGCATATGTGTGTTGATTTTTGTCAACAATGACGAGTCCGCTCAACCAGTGAGTGGCCAGCAGCGGTTTACACGGCAGTAGCTGAAGCATTGCTATCCATGTATTGTAGGACTTTTTTCGCTTTTATTTTGAAGTTGGCCTTGTTGCACGGAAGCATATTCACAACTGTTGTGGCGGATGGCTTGACTCGGCTAATATCACATTCGTGTGAGACAGCCGCTGAACGCATGCAGTCGAGCTACAGGAGGGACGGTTATCTCTGTTGCTGCACAGTGGCTTCGGCGGTCCATCAAAATATGTCCTGATGCGGAAGCATCTGTGGTGCAAAAGAATGGACAGAAGACAGCTGCCTGAGAGAATTGTCAGTTTGGATAGCAGGCTCCTGTTCTGCAAGTCATAATTTTTACAACGGGCAATGCAACTCAATTGTGTTAAATATGAATTGGATGTATTTTTCTAAAACAGGCAATTGTATTGTTTTAATAAGATGCCATTGTGTAGCTCTGGTATTATTAGCTTGGTGGAATTAAATAAAAACTGAAAACTGCTGCGATTGGCTGGCAACCGGTTCAAGGTGTCCCCTGCCTACTGCCCAAAGACAGCTGGGATAGGCTGCATCACCCCCCGCGACACTTGTGTGGATAGAGCGGAACGGAAAATGGATGGATGGAAGCTGAAAACTGGAAAAAAAGGGGGGTAGGAAAAGTTTTTTCGGGTATATTAAAATGATATATCTCCTTGGACTGCACAGTATATTGAAAAAATATTATCAGCACGATATCGGCTTGTGCAATATGCATATCACAAAAAAGTCTCATATGTAATTGTATCTTTTATCTGACTGATCAATCAGATGCAACCTTAAATCCCCATCGCCATCCAGTCAGAGAACAATATCGAGGAGCACTACGAACACACACATACACAAAAACATTTGCGCTCACAATCACAATTTAGTTTTCCATTATCCTGCCATGCATGTTTTTGGAATGTAAGAGGAAACCAGAGTAGCCGGAGAAAACCCACGCAGGCACGGGGAGAACATGCCAACTCCACACAGGAAGCCTGGAGCCCGGATGCGAACCATCAACCTCTGCACTGTGAGGCAGATGTGCTAACCAGTCCACCATCGTGCCGCCTAGATAGATAGATAGATAGATAGATAGATAGATAGATAGAGCAGTATCTCCTTCAAGTTCAGGTCCTCTACCAGAGCCTCTATCAGGGTTCTGCGCAGGATCTTAGCTATTCCCAGCATAGCACTCTTCTGCACAGAGATGTCAGACGTTGTTCCTGGTATCTGCAGAAGCCATCCATCCATCTTGCCTCCAGTGCCCTGAGTGCTTGTATATTGAAAAGCTTGAAAGTCGGGTCCCTTTTTGTCAAAGCACCACTGTGGTGGTTGGCGAGATGCTAGTCAGCTTCCGAACTCCTGCCGAGGTGTCCTTGAGCATACCCCACCTCCCCCTGCTCAAGAGGTTGAGTTTTCGCACCTGTTTCACTCAGACCATATTCCCTGCCTGCCTACGTGTCTGCATCTCTGTGTGGTGTACAATACACATATCAAGCAGCAGCAGAGCATCCATGTTCTAGGCGGCCCAGCAGATAGCATGCAGCGGAGAAAGGCAAAAACATTCTTCTTAGACTCCCAAAGTCTCCAACACTGAAGAGTTTAAGGTTTGTGTCTTGGAGGGAGGACAAAACCATTTACTCGTCCGTGCAAATAAATAGACACTTAACCTCTCTGCACCTGGATGTGTCTTTCAATGTTTCCCAATGAGACGGTCAAAATCACGGCGTCACAAATCAGGCCAAGGGGCCTCCATCTGCCCTGTCCATCGGAGACCCCCTTTAGCTCTCATTTTCTTTTCACCCACTTCTCTCCCACGCTCTCTGTCCAATCCTGCACACAACCTTCATAAAACAGCCATGAAACACTGCAGCCAAGTTTTTCCACAATAATGTCTGAAATTGATATGTGTGTGTGCGGGTGGGTGTGCGCGTGATAGTGAGTGTGTGTGTGTGTGTGTGTGTGTGTGTGCGCGCGCGCACGTGCGGGCGTAGGAGCAGCCAGCGTTTGGGTGGGTCATTGAGGAGGTGTCAAGAGGTGCGGAGCTCTGTGGTGCTTTTACGAGAGAGAGGATAGAGACCAGCGGCTCTCGACCCCCCAAGAGAGGAATTAGATGAGGGGAAGACCAAGAGAGTGCTCATCAAAGGCCAGAACAAGCCAAGCAGCAACTCATCCTTAATTTCTCTTTTTTCTCTCTTGACATCAAGAGGACTTGCCTTTATTGGCTTGTAAATCATCATCGGCGCACCTAAACAGCTTGCTTGTGTTGCCATATGCTGAATGATGGGAGCAAGACGCCATGGTGAGTGGCCAAGAAGATGGCGGGCTCGGGGGTCTGCCGCCCGCTGCCATCTGATGTTCTCAAGACATCCTGACTCGTGTGGCGGAAGGCACGTTTCATGTTTTGTGCGGCGACTGGCACAAATGAGTTAAGGTGCACATACACGCTGCGTATTTTGTCAGGACCCACAGTTAGTGAATTTGTCAGTCACTTTTGTTCATGCTAGCAAAGCTATGGGGACAAGATTTGATAACAGATGAGCCAATGCTTGCTAATTCTAAAACAACAATATACGACATGCAACATGATCTTTTTTTTTATCTTAGGAGCAGTAAGGACAGTTCAATCATAGAAGTGCAAAACTGTATTGTTTACAGAGTATTTGTTTTTCCATTGTGCCATATAAATAAATCGGGTACTGTATATCAGGGGTCCCCAACCGCCGGTCCGCGGACCGGTACCGGTCCGGTTTATTTCGGAATACGAAAGATGTTTTATTTTGAAAACTTACCGGATTCTCCGTTACATCCGTCTGTGTTACGCTTGACACACGTCAAGCCACGCTTCTCCATCACGTGACTGATTACTTCAAAACAAAACGCAGTAGCTCGCAAAATGAGTAAAAAAACTGCTGGAGATCGCAAATGACGGCGGCCTTAAAAGTACGTTCGAGACAACTGGATTAAAGTTATGGCTGAATACTCTTGAGATCGCCACAATAGCACTGTTGCTATTTCCGACATCGTACCTGTGTGAGGCGGGGGTTTTCTGCAGCAACAGCGACGAAAACAAAATTACGAAGTAGACTAGACATAAACCACACACTTGAGGTGTCATTTTCTCCTATTACCCCGAGATGGGACCGTCTGGTTGCAGAAAATCAAGCTCGGTGCTGTGGTGAGTCGTCATTTTCATGCACTTTGAATTTGCGTTGTATCGTATTTTGAAGGCATTAAACATTGCCATAGCGCTCGGAGTGTTGCGGCCAGATTAGACGCTCCTTGTGTTTATTATTATATTTCGAAAACATTACAGTTTTCATGCAGCTCATATCATATTATTGTTGTATTATTTCCGCCACACCTTAAATGCCGGTCCCTGAAAATAGTGTCTGACATAAACCGGTCCGTGGGGCAAAAAAGGTTGGGGGCCCCTGCTGTATATCATTGACGGCAAACATGAACTTTTCAGTTGACAACTTCTGTTTTTACCATGGTCTTTTGTGTTGTTTTTTTTTCAAATACTGTAAGTGCAGCTCGTGATTACTTCAGCTCAGTCAGCGTAACAATATGATAAATCCCAAATATTGAACAGTACAGATCAGCACATGAGTCAGAAGTGTTGTCTCTCTTCCGCTTACAGGATGAAAGAATTTCTCGGAATCTTATGAATTCCTGTTTCCATGCCAGTAGTGTAATGACCTGAATTGAAAACAGTGCATGGATGCGGCGCAAATTCTGTCTTGCTGTTTAGGCTAAGAAATCACTGAGACTGCATCAAAAGTGGCTCTGCTGGTTGATTTTCATAACCGCATTAAGGTTTGTCATCAAAGGTCCACGACTAGTGTCACAAAAAATATACTTCAAATCCAACCTACCCAAACTAAGTTTGAGTGGATTTGTGTCAGCACAGACAACTCATGTCTGCTCACAAAGCCCTGAGCATGGGACGGTTCCTGGCAAAGAAGAACATGGCTATGCTGGAGAAACCTCCCTCCTCACCTGACTGGGCTACATGGGATTGTTTTTTTTTTCCTCTTTCCCAAGCTCACGTGGACTTGTTTCGAATATGTGAATGTCGACAACACACAAACATACTAGTAGCACTTATATATTTTTCACCCCTTGCAGACAATATACAGGATGATCTGGTTTGGGGGAATTTCACTGAAGTGTATTTAAGCATACGTTTTGGGTTTAAATGCCTTGCCTGATGCCACCTCCATCTGAGTCTAACAGGTTTTGACTCACCTGCCACAAAAAAAATTAAGTTAATTGCTCTGTTATTGTGGCGGACCCACTTTTGGCAAAAATGCAAACTAATAAAAAAATTACCTACGCTGTTGGCATGATAACAAACTGTCATTACGTCATACATTAACGTGAACTGAAACTAACTTGGATTGGATTGGATTGGATCGCTTTATTGTCATTACACATTCATTCATCAACTTTCAATCACAAACTTAAAATTAAATAAAAAAAATCTGTTTTAAAAAGTGGGAGTGCCTTTGTTGTTTCTGAAAAAAAATATTGAAGATAAAAGTGGCTGTTATTGCTATTTGTTTTATTTATTTTATTTTTAGTTAACATATTTATATATTTATATATTTATGCCTTATGTAATTTTATGTAAATTTTAGCTGTGTGTTCAATGCACTACAACGTTGCACTGTGGGTGAGAGAGGAAAGTAATTTCATCTGTGCTGTATGTTACACATAGAGCATATTTGACAATAAAAGCTGACTAAACTGACTTGACTTGATATGCTTCGTACATATATTAATTTATTTTGTCGTGTGTCATTCTGAGAGGTGTTTCTATTTTGGACCCTCTGAGGTGACTCAGGGAGCAATTGTATAACACTGCAAAGTAGAGCAACCTAAAACATTGAAACGCTATTTCTAATATTTTATACACCCTTTTTTGTTGGCCAAAGAGGTCTGATCAATGGAAATAGACTCACCACCATGAAGAATCCACTCGTGGGGTGACCAGCAGCAGCAGCAAAACACACGCACAGCTGGAAGCGGCTCTGCGATGTTGTTGTGATTTGGATGAGACTCCCCGGGACCCTTCGTGACACTGACTCCGGGCTGCCCGTGTGCTTAGAATCTCGTTGAAAGCCAACATGGTGGAGTTCTTCCCCCAAGCACGTTCGACTCAAATTAAGCCGGAGCGAGCCTTCGACGATTAGGGAGCAAAATCAGGTGTCGCGTGGTTGTCCAGCGTGCGGCTCCATGGCGCGCACAAAAGAGGAGGAAAAGGAGCGCGTCCTCGCTCGCCCTCGGCCTCACCTGAGCGCAGCAGCAACAGTAACAAGTGCGGCCACTTGACTTCTCTGCCCTAACGCCTCTCCTTGTTTGGGCTCCTTTCAAAGGGAAACGCAATCATCATTGCCACGGTCCCAATTGCAGCGTGGACTCGTTCTGTCGCCTCTGTGTCGGAAATGATGCTCGGACCTTTATCAGAGTGGCGGACACACCGACGGAGCTGGGGGGGAAGGAGAGAGGGAGAGAGGGGGGTAAGGGTGGGGGGTAGCCTGCTGACGCCCACTGGAGGTTAGCTTGGGGGCTTTGACGAGGAGGGAGATATTCAAGAGGGATGGATGTGTGTGTGTGTGTTTGGCCCAGTAAAATAAACCAGAACAAGGCAATATATTTGATTTTCCATTACAATGGGCTTTAATAGGTATTCAGTAATATGATCATACGAAACAGGATACGTGGTATATTAATTACAATAGTAAAATTCAAGCCATCGAAAATCAGTGTTCCCCTTATGGCAGTATACAAATTGGCTGATCTTGAAAAGTTCCGTCATCAGCTTTGTTACCACTGATTACCAAGACTCCGCCATAACTTTGTTCTCGGCTCTCCATCCAGACCACCACCTGCACTCTCCTCTCCAGCAGGTTTATGGACTCCTTTCATAAAGTCCACCCGACTTTTGGTTGATCTTCTTTCCACCTTTCTGCCCTAAGAAGTACAACTCACCTCAGTCTTCCCTGTTTTTTATAGGTGAATCCTGCACCTGTTTCCAGCCTGTCGTGAACTTTCACCATCTGCGATATCATGTCATGAATTATGTAAATATGTTTGTTAGATTTTCTTTCGTATTCCTTCGTTTTACTCTGCTTTCTGCAACCAGGTCGGCATTGCAAATGAGAATCTGGTTTCAGTTGGCAAACTTGGAATAATAATTGTTAAACAAATTCATGAAATTTAATTGCCAGAGGGCGGCCCGGTGGGCCAATGGTTAGCGCGTTGACCTCACAGTGCAGAGGTGCCGGGTTCAATTCCAGCTCCGGCCCCTGTGTGGCGTTTGCATGTTCTCCCCGGGCTTGTGTGGGTTTTCTCCGGGTACTCCAGTTTCATCCCACATTCCAAAGAAACATGCATGGCGGGCTGATTGAACACTCTAAATTGTCCCTAGGTGTGAGTGAGAGCGCGGATGGTTGTTCGTCTTCGTGTGCCTTGCATTGGCTGAACCGGTTCAGGGTGTCACCCCACCTACTGCCCGAAGACGGCTGGGATAGGCTCCAGTATGCCCACCACCCTCCTGAAGATAAATGCATCAGACAATGGATGGATGCATGAATTGCCAGAATACAAATAACAGAAGAAACAATGTGATGTGGTCCAATATGGTCCTCAAAGTGCTCATGCCCTAATAATGAAAAAAAATAAAACATTACATCTGGGGTGATTTTTTTTTTTTCATTTTTGATTATAATGTATGTCGATGTAAGGCACATGTCAAAACATGGCCTTTCATTATAGGGAAAGAATGAGTGAATCTGATAAAACTCAAGTGCGGAAGGTGTGTGTGATGGTCTTAATGTGCATTTTAGTGCAGATCCAAAGTACTTCTGTACTCCAACTCAGATTCATGATCTTGACATCATGCTGACATCATTCTGGAGTGCGCATTCTGAAATGATGAAGAAACAAATTGTAAGCCGTGTTCAATCAGCTTGAAGAATGGAATCGACGTTTATAGGAGGGGGTGGGGGTGGGGGAAGCTGAGTTTCTAACTGTGGCTCTTTTTTAATTTTAACATTATGCCTGCAGCATGTAACGTCGAACACACTACACAAAGTCTTGGCCAGAGACTGGAGCCACATAGTCCATTGGAACAGTGCAATCTTTTAAATCGGAACCACATGTGTACAAGACAGATCGCTAAGACAGCTTTAGACTAAAAACACACACACACACACACACACACACACACACACACACACACACACACACACACACACACACACACACACACACACACAACACAGA